TCTGTAACTTTCACTCTATGCATCTGAAGAAGTGAGGTTTTTACCCCACGAAAGCTTATGCCCAAATAAATCTGTTAGTCTTTAAGGTGCCACCAGACTCCTTGTTGTTCTCTAAAGTGTTCTTCTTCCCATCCCCCCCAGACACTGGATACCCACACAGAACCCACTTACAAACGGGATGCAGAGAACACTTTAAAAAGACAGTCAAGCTAAAATTCCCGTTTAGAAAACAAGATGAACATGCTTGCCAGGATTGTTAACCCCATCTTCATTCTCAAATGGCAATCCTTAGGGGAAACCTCATTTACTTTTGTCTCGTTAACACTGATTGTTTACTTTTGCCATTTTGCTGAACTTGAAGAATGAAAATTGATTGGCCAGATTCCCTTGTTTGCGCTCGTGCATGAGCCCTTTGCGGCAAGGCTGGGTTGCAAATGCCGCAGGGGAAGGGAGCACAACCACATGCTGTTTTCACTGGACTTCCAAAAATACCCCCAAAAAACAAAAACAGGGCAAAATTTTCTCCTGTGCTTGAGTTTTGCAAAATTTTGTTTCTAACCAAAACTAATTTTGGGGGTTAAACAGCTCTCAAGGTTCCTGGCAAGTTGATATGGGAACTGCGATGCTACTGTAGCCCTTGAACCCTTCCTGACATTGACCGATGGCATCTTTCCTGCCAGACTGGACTGTAATCCCTGGTGATGCCATCTTTACTTTCTTCACTGCAACACTGCATTCACTGCAAGCAAATGGCTACTTACTGATGAAGTTGGCCTGGCCGGTGAAGATGGTGTACTGGAGCTCATAGGAGCTAACACTGAACTCATCCTCCGAGATCCAATGGACTGTAATGGTGTCATGGGAAGCTGTACAAAGCTCCTCTCGGACAGACGGTGGATTGGGTGCTGCATGGGCGACAGATGACAATGTAGAGATAAGAAGAGGTTTTCACATCCACTTGGGTGACACCTCATAATGGAGACAGTCTCTATATGGAGGGAGCACAGACACTGCACAGAAAAAACAATTCTATGTGTTGTTGAGTGACTGCTGGAGTAAAATGGAGGCTCCTCGAAGGGCTGGAGCATCAGGGACAAGGCTAGGAGACCCATTATTAATGTGGTCACATTGAAGGTTTAGGCCGCTAATTAAAGCCCCGCCTCTGGTTGGCACTGATTTTTTAACAACCTTTTAATCTGATAAATGTTCTGGACACAGATGATATTTCTCCTCTTATATTATCTGCTTGGAAATCTGATAGATGGACCTAAAGATCAGCTATCTTCTCTGGTGCGTTTGTCTCCTCAGCGGCTTTAAGTAGCCTTGTAAAGAAACACAGGTATATCTATACTGCAGTTGGGCAAAGTAATTCCCAGTCCAAGTAGACGTACCCATAATAGGTTGAGCCGAGCTAGCATGCTCAACATAGCAGTGTGGCCATGGCAGCATGGCTATTTTCTGTGTGCTACCTTGAGGCTATGCCCTCTGCAGATACCATACACTACATGGGCAGCTTTTCCCCCACTTTCTTCAAATGTAGAAGAAAACCCGTCGAAAAGGACTGTAGCACGTCAGGACGGGAGTAGCCCTTCATTGCTATTTACTTGCATTACGGTATACCTTTTATTCTTATGTGTATTACCATCACACCCAGAGACCCAAATCTGGATCAGAGACCCCATGTGCTAGGTGCTGTCTGAACACAAAGGTTGACCTGATCCCCATCCAAAAGAGCTTTCAATTTAAGGCCTCAAGACACATACAAAGGGCAGCAAAGAGGAAACACTAAACTATATTACATGTTAAATGTATTACACGTTTTTTTTTCAAATGTACTATTGGCTGCTCATTTCCTGTGGGCAGCATGGCAGGAAGTGGGATTTGAAGAAGAAGGTTCCAGGGATTTTTTCAGAGAGGGCATTCCCAGCATTCAGCAAAGCGGCGGACGTCAGCACCACTGGTGGAGCAGAGGAGACGGGAAAGGGGAAGCAGGAGATAGCAGCCAATGTGATGAGAGCAGATATGAAGGGGCAGAACTGTGAAGGTGCTTGGAAGTGAGATACTTCAATTGGATGGGGTGGAAATAGGGGAACCATGAGAAGGATTTAAAGTGGGATGGGATGGTTACATGGTCAGAAGGAAGATGACCATAGCAGCAGACTGGACAGAAGTGATGTGGGTGAAGAGACGGGTCTGAGGAGAAGGATGCTGTACTCAAGCCAGGGGATGACAGCGTGACTCAGAGGTTTTGCAGAAAGGGCAGAGAATTGTAACAGATTTCAGAAACAGCCACCCTAAGAACATGCCTGAACACCAAAAGCCCAAGGACTGATGACTGGGTCGCTCCATTACCATGCCAAGTTGCAGCATCAAGAAGCAGTTTAAAAGACTAGAACAACTTACAATGTAGTTGATATTAAAATATTTTCTACTTCATCTGAGAGGACAAAGAAGGTTACAGCGTGTGTTAGGAAAGCAGGATCAGCACACACCTGTGAGATAATCCAGCCCCTCCAGCAGTTTCTTTTCTCTGGAAAAATCTAAAGCAAAGTTTTCAAAGGCATCGTTAAAATTGATATCTGGTATCAGCACTTGAGAGGATGCAGTTGCCATGGCGACCCTGAAAGAAAGAAAAGAGCATCAATATACATTAGGGTGTATTTGGACAACCCAGCCGGCAGTTAGATTGCTGATTAAAAAGGCGCAAACAGCCTTGCAGTAATGTAACATGCCAGGAGGAAAACCACCACCCAAAGCAGGCTTCTCTGGAGAAGCAAAGCCACAAGCCCCTGGGGAAGGGCCTGGTGGCTTTGTTTGCTTTTGTTGTTGTTGTTAGTGACAGAAGCATCCTCCTTTTGCTCTTTGAAACAATCACAAACATTACGCTGGGCTAGACAGGGCTACCTAAGCGACAGCGCTGCCTGTTCTTCCAAGGAAGGACATGCTCCCATTCACACTTCATGTTCACCTTCTGAATGACTTGCCTCCCATTGTCCCAGCTGGACATTCGCGATTCCAGAGTGAGTGGCACCCCACACCTGATACGATTCCTAGTGAGGATTCTCACAGGCCTTGTCTGCACTAGGACATTTCTGCTAATATTTCCCACTGCTGCATCTCCACTGGTGGCTGCAATGGTGTGACTTAGAGCACCAGCACCCACCAGTGTTTTCAGCACTGAGTTGTGCAGGTCGGCTCTAAACAGGGTTGGATTGGAATACCCAGTAATCTAGGGTTACCATATTTCAACAATCAAAAAAGAGGATGGGAGGAGCCCCGCCCCCATCCTGTCCTAGCCCCACCCCTGCCCCTTCCACTCCCTCCCACTTCCCATCCCCCTCAGAACTCCCAACCCTCCCCCCCACTCCTTGTCCCCTGACTGCCCCCTCCTGGGACCCCTGCCCCTAACTGCCCCCCAGGATTCCACCCCTACCTAAGCCTCCCTGCTCCTTGTCCCCTGACTGCCCCCTCCTGAGACTTTCTCCCCATCCTAACTGGCCCCCTAGGACCCTATCCCCTACCTGTCCCCTGACTGCCCCAACCCTTATCCACCCCCCCACCCCCAGACAGACACCAGGGACTCCCACGTCCCATCCAACCACTCCCCACCCCCTGACAGCCCCCCCCCAGAACTCCCGACCCATCTAAACCCCTCTGCTCCCTGTCCCCTGACTGCCCCCTCCTGGGACCCCTGCTCCTAATTGCCCTCCAGAACCCCACTCCCTACCTAAGCCTCCCTGTTCCTTGTCTCCTAACTGCCCCCTCCTGAGACCCCCCCCAACCCTAACTGCCCCCCTAGGACTCTACCCCCTACCTGTACCCTGACTGCCCAAAACTTTACACCCCCAACCCCCAGACAGCCCCCCCCGAACTCCCGACCCATCCAACCCTGCTCCCTGTCTCTTGACTGCCCCCTCCAGAACCTCCCTGCCCCTTCTCTGACCCCCTGGCCCCCTTACCGTGCCGCTCAGAACAGAGTGCTGCAGAGCAGCACGCTCGGCAGCAGGGGAGGGAGGAGCAGGGGGAGGAGCTCCAGATTGCCGGAGGCCCGAGGCGAACGGCCGGCCGGCGATCTGCGAATGCAGGGAGGGGGAGGGAGGGAGAGAGAGGAGGGGAGTGGTCTCAAGTTGCAGGGGAGAGGAGGGGGAAGCGGAGGAGGGGCTCTGGCTGTCAGAGCCCCGTGCGAGTGGCACGATCCGTCCGGCTGCCCTGTCAGCCGCGTACGCTCTGCATGGGGGGGAAGTCCGGACATTTACAAATTCCCCCCGGATGCTATTTTTAACTCAAAAAAGCCGGACATGTCCGGCAGAATGGTAACCCTACAGTAATCTCCTGGGGCCCTGTCTACACCCACTAGTGAGTGTATGTTACAGGTTCCCACTATGGCCAGTCCACAGAGGTTATGAGTTAGTTACAGCCCCAGTTAAAGAACCTGACTTAAGCTCACGCAGTAGCAGCTTGTGCTTTTAGCTCTGGAGGTCCTCAGTTCAATCCCTGGTGTTTCAGCCCAGAGGGCGGCTGACACCACCACCACTAGTGGAACTGAAAGGGAGGTAACCATGACCAGTAATTATTCAGTAGATGAAGCCTAGTGCCACTGTTCTTTCAATGTTTCACCTATTACTCTCAACGGCCATTCTCAAACTCCTGTACCTGTCATACGATTTGCTGGTGGCCCTGTGAGATGCTGCATGCTGTACCACTGTAAAGCACTTTGATAGCTGGCAAGAAGGGGGAGGGATAGCTCAGTGGTTTGAGGCATTGGCCTGCTAAACCCTAAATTGTGAGTTCAATCCTTGAGGGGGCCATTTAGGGAACTGGGGTAAAAAATCTGTCTGGGGATTGGTCCTGCTTTGAGCAGGGGGTTGGACTAGATGACCTCCTGAGGCCCCTTCCAACCCTCATATTCTATTATTCTAAGAGTACTCTTTGTGAGCACCACTTCTGTGGCTGTGGGGATTAGTAAATAGATAAAGATGGTTCAGAAAACAGACAGGGTTGAGGGAAAAATCTCACAGGATAAATGAGCTTCCAAGGGATAAAGGTCTGTGCTCAGAACTGCTGAGACAGCTATTTTTTCTACCACTCAAAAAAATCACATGCACCATTTTCTCCTGGGGATTCAAACCCGAGTTGGCTGGCCAGTAACATCTAGCAAGCCCACCTCTCGGCCACGTTCCTGGCAGTCTGCAGGAACCGTGCATGGTCGTTCTCTTTCAGGATATGTTCCGCTTGATTGATGAGGACTGTGGAGCGCTCCAGGCACTGCCGACAGTTAGCTACCTGCTGGGCCAGCTTCCTCAGCTTCATAACCTTGGAGAGAGGAGCAGAGGGGAAACAGAAAACAGCACTTGAAGGAGATCAGCAAGGAAGCCTGGGAATTGAGCTTATTAATCAACTGGCTAAAGCTGCCTTGTTCAGGACAAGGCTGACGGAGAGGCTGCCCCGATGGCTTATCCTCTGCAGCGCCCTGTGAGCACATCAAAGGCATTGCTTTAAAACCAAAGGAGAAAGCACTGGTCCTAGCAGAGGAGGCTTCTCAATGAAAGTCAGCAGGAGTAAAACTCTGCCAGAGCCTTGTGCTCCGGCCCCTCCCAGCCAAACAGCTTGTTGTGGAAAAGAGAGTTAAGAAGCATTTAAAGGTGCACTCTCTGTGTTCATTTAGATTACAGAACAGACAGACTGGAACCCTGGGTAGGGTTACCATACGTCCGGATTTTCCCGGACATGTCCGGCT